TTTCATAAAACCAACATGAGAAAGTTTTGAAATGGACGTGTGTCCTAGCCTCTTATGCCACATCCCAACCGTACTCACCATCGCTTGCCTTTTTGTTCCTTTCATCCCCATTTTGTATAAGCCTTCATCACTCTTACCCATTCCAATCAAGGCCTTCGTGGTCAAATCCTGCATTACAAAGAAGGTTGGAAATAATGTCATAGCACATTGCAAATCCTTAGACAGTTTACCAACTGATAAAAGATTATAGTTAAAACTAGGAACATGGAGAACATTTTTGATGGTGGCCCCATTGGGAAGGTCGTGATCTCCCCTCCCTTCTACGGGTATGGCTGCTCCATTTGGTATAATGACTAGTGCCTCGTAGTTTCCTTTTGTGATATTTTTAAGCAATGAATATTGGTGGGTTATGTGATCGGTGGCTCCAGAGTCAACAACCCACGAATTTTCACGAGATAACTCACCTGCCATGTTTGCGATTGGAGCATTTTCTTCCTTCTTTGTTCCTTCTTTGTTACCAAACAGTTTTAGAAACTGTTTATATTGTTCCTCGCTCAACCCGGTTATGGGACTTGAATCTCCTTTCACACATGCAGCTTTCGGTTTGTTTTGTTTGCCCTTCCCCGGCCACCAATCTGGGTAACCGATGCGTTTAAAGCACCCGTCCTTATTGTGTCCGTCTTTTCCACAGAAGTCACAGTGTTCAGTTCCGTCACCACCGTTCCGTTTTGGGTCTCTTCGCCGGTTCTTCTCTTGGCTTTTAGTGTGTTCTCGCTTACCGGGAACAAGAGCTTGGAAAGCGGTGGTGTTCTGGTTCGGCTTCTTACCACCAGAAACAACCCTTTGTTGATCATCGTCTGCGACAAGATGGTAGGCTATGCCAAGGGTGGGTATCGGTTGCATTGCTAAAATTTGGGTTCGTATGGTTCCAAAATCAGAATCCAGGCCCAACAAGAACTCATATAACTTTTCTTTATCTTTGATTTCTGCAAGTTTCTTTCCAAGGTTGCATGTACAACCTCCACAGCCGCATGTTGGTGTCGGTAAAACCGACTGAATTTCATCCCATAACCCACGTAATTTCGTGTAGTAGGCTAAGACCGACAGTCCGTCTTGCCTGATAGAACTCAGGGATTGCTTCAATTCATACGCCCGTGGTGCGCTTTCTTTTCCAAATCATTCCTTCAAATCGGCCCAGATTTCTTGAGATGTTGAGGCGTATTTGACACTTATTCGTATTTCTTTCTCCATTGCAATGTTTAGCCATCCTTTGATCATGGCATCACACCGCATCCAAGCCATGTAATCGGCTGCGTTTGGTTCCCGGTTTCTTGATTGACCCGTTAATGAAGCCAACCTTGTTTTTGGCAAACAAGAAGTTGAGCATTTCTTGTGACCAATCGAGATAATTACCTTCGGTAAGCACATCATTGACATGCAACTGCCTTGGGTAATCTGAAGCATGAATATAGTAAGGAGAGTTGTGGTCAGAACTGTGGTGGGAACCGCCGTCTTCATTTTTCTTTCCGCCATCTTTGTCACCTGCCATGTTGGTTGCTTATTTTCTTTGGACAAAGGTCCGATATGTGTATTTTTGTTAAACCTGCTCTGATACCATAATAATTCTTATTATTATGGTAAAGATACAAAAGTTTTGTACAAAAAAAAAACTACAAGCAAATCACACAAATAAATACAGGAAGGAAAGACCAGAGAAAAGGTAAGGAGGAAATTAGGTGAGGGAATTAAGGAAAGAAATCGGCGAGAGAAAAAAGAATATCGTTCTTTACTTCGTTTGTTCTTTCCTCTTCATAGATCTGGTATTGGTTTTGTTTCTGGTGCAAGTTGAAGCCGATTTCTTGGTTTTGTGTTATGCAGTAATCTGGTCTACATGGAAGTGTCGTAATTCTCGATATTTTAATCGAAGCGATAGCCACCAGAGTCCATGACTACTATCTTTCTCTTTCTTAATTATTTACATATTAAGAACAAGGGTATAAATGTCAAAACATTATTTTTGCAGTGGAATAATGAAATGTTTCAGTGGAAGCTCAGGTCCCATTAATGTATGATCACCTCACGGTTTGATGAATATTTCCAAACACAACGTTCACGGATTGAGTAGTCTTTAGATGAGTTTTCAATTTACAAATGCACTAACTACGCTATTAAAGTACCTGCCGGAAGTTCAGCAAATTTTTTGATAGCTTAAAATTATAGAAAGAAAGAGAAAATGTTGGTCCCTATAAATTTTTAGCTACAATGGCTAGAGATATACTAAGGATCAACAGTAGTATCATATGATTGAGAGTAAACTACACGAATGGTACCTATGGTTTCGGATAATTTATGCACTTGGTCCTTAACTTGTTTTGTTAACTCGGACTGTCCTTATTTCGTATTTTTGTTGCTCGTTTGGTCCATGTTAAAGATAAAAGACCGTATTGCCCTTTTTATTTCTTTTTATATTTATTTATTGTTTATTTCTTATTTTATATTGGCAAAATGTTTAAGAAATGAGGTAGGACCCCCCCCCCCCCCCCCCAACCCTCACCTTTGTCTTTGTTGCTTACCTGTGTACCCACATTTGGTCATATTCACTCACCACGAAAACATAATTAGCATAAAACTTAACTAAAGAAAGCCAACGACACAGTGCGTAGTTCGTTGTGATGAAACCCATGCCTTGAGAATTTGCATCTAAACCCATAAATCAAAATTGAAATCCCAAAAATCAGAAATCGAAATCGACAAAGTGTTGTGATGAAACTTGCATTGGTGTTCAAGTTTTTTCATCCGAAACCAAAAATCCAAATGTTTATGAAATGAAGAAGATCGATAATGAACTCAATCAATTTTTTTATATGAAAGAAGAACATGTGATGTAACCCATATGAAAAGAAGATGAACGAAATCGAAATGGTAATCATCTAACTTCTTTCGTTCTCGTCAGTTTCTAGATTTATTTTCATCGGGTTTGATTTGTGGGTGTTCATCAATATCTGAAAATCGAACTTAGGGTTATTAAGGATTTCAATCACCGATTACCACTTCTAGAGACCAAGTGAAGTAGTGAAAGATATCGATCGATGAGGGTGTAGGTTTGTCGATGGATGAAAACAGGTTTGTATGTTGCATTTTTGGAACAAAAAATCAGTGAAGGTCAGCGGTGTAGTAGTCACCAGATACCTCTGGAATGAAGAATGAAGGGGGCCGTCGGCAACAGTTGAAGACAAGGAGTAGTTTTGAATTCAGATCGATTAGACTGGTGTTTAGGGTTCATGGTTATTGATGTGTTATGAGAATGTTCACTAAGAAAGAGCAGGCAGATGGATGCCAAAATAAATAAATTAGAAACAACCAATGATTAACTTAAAAAAGAAATAAGAAGGGCAATATAGTCTTTTTAGGTCTGGCGGGGACCAAACGCACAACAAATATACATCTTAGGGAGCGTCCGAGTTAAAAAACATATATTAGGGACCAAACATGCAGATTAGCCCAAACCACAAGGATCATTCGCGTAATTTACTCTATAATTGGAATGCTGTTTTCGTTTTTAGTAACAGGATATTAAGTGGAAGAAGTATTTTGACATTAGCGACACATGAACCAGTGCAATTGTCTTTGGTGCTTAATGACTAATATTCATTCACAAAACTACTCAAATTACATTGGAGACAAAATGGAAAAACGTTAATGGAAGTCATACATTTAATAACACTGAGAGCATCTCCAACCCACTCTCATTCTCCATTTTTCTCTCCATTTCTTCCCCCATTCTTCTCCAACCCTACCCCATTTCTTCCCCCAATTTTGTTATACTATTCATTTCCCCCAAAATGGAGATGAACTTTTAGTTGTCGGTTTTAGTCCGTCGTTGTATATATATATATATATATATATATATATATATATATATATATATATATATATATATATATATATATATATATATATATACATTTCTGGTTTTTTTACCTACTAATTATTATTTAAATGTAATATTTGATACTTATAATATTGTGTTATATATTAAATTATATTAATTAATTATAAATATAAATTTTCTTTTTGTTTTATCAAATTCATATTAAAATTTAAATACATAATGAAAATTTTAAAACATAATAACGTATTTTACAAAATCTTATAATTACGTATTATAAATATAATATTATTTATTTAATCTTATTGTAATGAAATATAGATTCTCTCTTTGTTAACCCCCACCTTAATAGAAGGGTTGGAGATAAAACACTATTTAACCCCATTTTTTACTTCATTTTTGGGGGAAAAAATGGAAGTAGGTTGGAGATAGTCTGATATTAAGAAACCGGTGAAGACTTCATTGCCAACATCCGAGGAGGAAATACAAATTATGTAACGAGTATTCGAGTACAACTTCAATCGTCACCCCCTTAAAATAATATGAATATATGACGGCGATTACAATTACTCAAATTTCACTCAAAATATGTGGATTTAATGATACTTATATGTTTTACAACATAAACTTATGTAACATTTGGAAACAATTTGCAACGTTTTTTTATTGGTGACATATTTTAGTCTTTATTTAAAAAAAAAAAAAAAAAAAAAAAAAAAAAAAACGGACTATGACTGGACTAGTTTTAAATTTAAATATTCTTGTGCATTCCAACAACCCAAAAAAATTATCAGACCAAACTGCCGAGTCCAAGAAAAACCGACAAAATTCTGAAAAGAGACCAGACGTGCCTAGACCAAATGGATACGGATATTGTGAACTCTGTCAAATATGGAGAAAAGCCTACTAATAATAACCCTCTTTTGGAAAAAAAAAATGTAAGAAAAGAGTGTGGTTTTAGGGACGAAGTTAAACAAACAAACCAATCTTTCTATTTGCTGGAATTTCCAAGAAACAACGTCATCTTATGGGTCATCATATTACGTAGATGTGTATGTATTCGTCCTATAAGTAGACCACTTCAAAATGACATTCAACATCTCATCCTCCAATGTCTTGGCCAAAAACCCTCGAAGAGTTCAACAGTCAAAATCAAGTTAGTTTCCGGGAAGCAAATTTTGGCGGAGGACCTCACCTCCCGACGAAAATAAACAATAAACAAGGTTCATTCGCGAAAAAACATGGCGGGGTAAATACACCCAAAAAAAGTACATTCAGTGCATGGCTACCTCAAGTTGTATCCACTTCTTCTAACCCATTATCAGCTAGTAATTGGAATCAACGCCAAAACAGTACTCCAGGTGCTCGAACTTCAACAAATCAGTCTAAAACATCGTTTGACTACCCAATGTCACGTAGTGAGTTTAATACCCACGATAGTTTAGTTAATCCATATACGTCATTGGGGGGAACCTCTGCTCACGAACAGCAATCCTATGGCAATCCAACGTCGATGGGATTGTTTAATCAACACAAACGCAGTTCAAGCTGGAACCATTAATTAATTACTATATAAGCCGCCACTATCACAGGTAAAACGTGATGGAAATAAACAATCGCAACTTTTTCTATTGTTCATTGTTTGTAATCTTGATTGAAGTTGTCGACTTGTAGACTTGTAGTCCGTGTTTCTTTGATGTATATTTACATCAGTGCTTTTCCAAAGTTCATTGTTCGAATTTTTAAATGTCATTTCCCTTGCTCCTCAAATCGTTAAACAGATACAGAGTAAAAGTACTTGCAACTCATATATCACAAACGCAACCAGGGTATCATTTGATGATTGGCTAAAAAAATTGTAAGACAAAATGCAGATTTTGGCAGTTTTGACTTTGGAATGGAAAAATAGTTGTTCAATTATTGGTGGTTTTTTATGTGTGGGAAAAATAGAAGAAAACGAAACTACAGCACACAAAGTCGGCTGCCATGTATATGCCATAGTCATTAACTAAACTACAAGGGGTGAAGCTATAAAGTTGGTGTGACAAATAAAATAAAAGGAAATTTTGGCTTCTCTTCGTTGTAATTTACTCATTTATAATATTAGACATAGCCGACTGCTATAGAAGCATATCAGCGATTTAGGGTTTTTGTATTATTAGCAACGCGTATCGTCAGTACCATATTCTATTTTATCTAAAACTATCTTGGTAGTACCTTCTAGTTGATGGCAAGTTTTCTATTGTTTTTTAAAGAAATTCCTTTCATGTCCAGATAATCAAGTCTGACTAGAGAACTGTTTTTTTAGAGTGTTTTTGTGTAATAAAAACATCTCGAATGATAGCGTTCTTTTTAAAGTTTTTACCATGTCTATATATTTCTAATTTTTAAAGCTTTTTACTATTGGGAAACAAGGTATTCATTCACTAAAAGTCACTGCAAACATTTATTATTTTCTAACCTTTTGTTTTGTTTGGGAAATTAAATAATCTACCAACTTTTTAATGGTTTTTGTTTTTAGATAACCACTAACTTATTTTTTGGAAAATGACATTTAAACCCAAACGCCCATATAATTGTCTAAATAAATTGTAAAACATAATGCAGATTTTGGCAAATTAGGCAATTTTCACTTTGGAATTAATGTCACAATAGTTGTTCAATTATTGGTGGTTTTTTATGTATGGGAAAAATAGAAGAAAACAAAGCCATAGTCATTAACTAATCTACAAAGGGACGAAGCTATAAAGTTGGTGTGAAAAATAAAAATAAAAAGGATTTTTTTTTCTTTACTTCATTTTAATTGACTATAATACTCTAGTTTTAATGCTATTAAAAACCATGTATTTGTCTTCTGAAGCCAACAGCAATCGTGGTCGGGATTATGGGGATTATGGAATTAGTGTGTTCTCCTCTATTGTATCTCTATGTGTGTGCGTCTTCAGGTTTTGGTTCCAGTTCATTGATCACCAAGCTTTGGTTCTAGAATCGAAGGTACACATCATTGATTATCAAGCTTTGAATTTTTTTTTTTTTTTTTTTTTTTTTTTTTTTTTTTTTTGTGTTTCTCCACAGCCTTGGACACACACACAAGAGAAAAAAAATTGATTTTCCCCTCCTTATTCCTTATTGACCTCAATTATGTTATCTACTTGGTGGTGGGATTTCTATCAATTTCACACTACTAGAAAAACCTAAATAGAATACAGCAGATAGAATACGGTTAATAGCATCCTCCGTATTTGACAAGGAAAAAAGTTATAATACGGCTAAATAAAGACTTAGGGTACAGTTAAATGAAATAAAGAACCGTATTTTATTATTGGCTTAGTATTTCATAAGGTGTACAATATTTCATCTATTTGTTTATTTCATTTTAAACCGAAATATATTTACCCCCTTCCCCAAGCATTCAACTAGTTCCATATGTACGGTTACAACTTACACGCCACCACACAACGACAACGTTCGCATCATTTTTCACCCCACCGTCACCGTCCTTCGTAGTTTCTTCCGAAAATGACTGCACATTGAGTTCAGGATACTCACTTCAGAAACTAAATCAAATTAAGTTTCTGCAATGTCTTTGAAAATTCTAATCAATTTCTTGTTTAATCTAATCCATTACCGAGTTTCAAAGAACACAAATCCGTCATATTTCCGTCTCTGTTCGATGATGAATTTGTTCTCGTTTTCCACAACTTTCTCGCCTGTTTTACAGTGAATCATTGAAGGTTACTGTATTTCGCAAGATCCAACTCAATTCCAGTATACTATCCCGCTTCAAGTTCGTTTACTGTTTTTGATTCGTAAATTTTTTTGTTGTAATCCACATTTTTCTGAAAATGTGGATTTGTTCGCAACTTATCTCACTGTCAGTTATATTGATCGATTCACTTTTAGTGAATCTAGTAAAAATGTGGTGTGTAATCCATTTCTTTTTTCTTCTACTTGTACCTAGAAATGAATACATTTTGGAACCTTCAACACTTGCAATACAATATCATCGATCTGAAAATTTTCTTTTGCAATTTTTCATTCACCTATCTATTTTTTCCATGAATTGAGATGTCAAGAACCTGAAGTGAACTAGGTTTGTTAATTGATTTTATGATGAAATTATGGTTTCCCTGGTTGTGATTAAAAGGTAGTGCATTCAGTACTACCTTTTCTTTTATATGAACATCAGGTGTTCGATGAAATTCCCCAACGAGATGTTTATTGATTAGTTTACTTTGTGAACAAGTTTTTCCTTTAATTTATTGATTTTTCTAAATATCAAGAGCAATAACCTCTATCATGTTAACCTTACTTGTAAACTCTCATAATTCTTTTTATTACAATGCTATATTACAATATTGGATTAGAAGAAGCTTGGATGAATTGGGTTGTACTTATATGAGATATGACTTCTCTGGTCTCACTAAGTATTATTAAATGATGTGTGATGTGTTGCATAAAAAAGTTAATTTATCATCAAGTATTAATTAAAGGCCACTAGTTTGACATTATATTTAGAAGTTCTTAACATTAACATTTTGTACACAAACCAATTAAAGATCTTGTCCCTTATAGAGTTTTATAGGTTACATTTCCCTTGTGTGTAGATGGTTGAAGCAGGGGAATCAAGCTTGGGCATAAATAGGCCATGGATCACTAAACATTATCTTTAAATAATTCTTGACACCCAAGGTAACTTTTTGATCAGCAGTTTCTCCTGCTTTCACTTAACAGTTAAAGCATAACCCATGTTTGTTCTTGTTAGCTAAACCTAGCTTAAGCTTTGTACCTTGTGGATTTTCCGATGAAGAAAAACTGAAAATATTTCAAGGTTAGACTGATTTTATCACATTATTTAACGCAATTCTTTATGGAGTTTAGTATGAACTGGCAATGGTAGATTTGAAAAACTCCCAAGCCAAATGCTGACATAAAAAGGCTAAGAAATAGCATGTGAATTTGCAACAAATAGTGCAATGTTGCTTCATTTCTGTATTTGTAATTAGGAACATATGTTTATGACAATATCATTTTCTTTTCTTTATTCTTCTTATCTAGTAACTTAACACATGATAAATTCCAATCTAGAAGAAATTTGTTGCTACGGGTATGTTGACTATATCTATATCATGTGAGTTTTGACGGTTGTTTCCTTTTGTCATGATTTCATTTTAGAACTATTTTCTCTTTATGGTTCTTATAGTAATTTTTCTACTTATTTTTCATCGTTTTTTTAACTGGAAATTGCATATGGTTGTACTTTTTTTATGCAGAGCGGAATGAAGTTCAATTTGCGTCACCCATAGGCATTATGGGGGTGGGGGCCATAATGGACCCATGATGAGCGATGAGGCTCTTGGGGACTTTGGATCTCTTCCCGATGTTTATGCTGAACTAGAGGTAAGTAGCAAAAGTACATGGTTAAACAAAATACAAGAAGTGCAAGAAATAGCTACATACTTTTATTGATCTGCTTACGATAGCATCCTACTTAATTTCATTTTCGTTTTATTAAAGCATCGTACTTTGAAAATCTACCGTTTGTAATAATGTGATTATTATAGTTGGAAAGAAATATGAAGTATAAATTCTAAATTTGAAGGCATTTGTAGTTTTTTGATGTACAATTTCTTAATTAGAAAAGTTGAAAGTATGGTTTTGATTTTATTTGTTAAGCTATTTACTGCTCCCTACCCAATTTTGACTTTTCTTCATTGATATCTGAGTTGGTAATGAGATATGTACTTGTTAGACTTGTTATTTTGAAGCTCCTGCACTGACATTACACATTAACACTATATTCTTGTCTTTTCGTAAGTCCAGGTATAGAATTATTTGATTGCTTGATGGCCTTTGTATGTAAAATTCGATTACATACTTATAATAATTTAATATATTACGCAAATATGAAGTGAAAGATAAGCAAAACAACAATAATTATTATGGATAAAATATTTTTAAACGATGGTGTTGTACCACGTTGAACATCATGATTAGCCTAGAAATTGTAGGTGTATCTGGCATCAATTGGAAATTGATAAACAAAAAAAAAACTTTAGCTTGTTTGCTCCTTGTTTAATTTCTGAAGTATAATTGGATGATTTTTTTTTGGAACAGCTATAAGAAGAACGTCTGAATATTCACATGAATTTGAGGAGAGCCTTGGTTTCGGAGCACCTTAATGGCTAATAAGGACGTGTTACTAGTATCTATATCGTATTACTTTTGTAATTATGAATGGTTATAGAGTACAGAGTGTTGTGGGATGTCTTTGGATATAATACGGTTAAACCATATACAAGCTGTATTAGATGTGTGATATAGAGTACGGTTGTTTAATTGTACTCTATTATGTACAAGCCGTATTATATGTGTGAGATATGTATGAGATATGTATGAGATAGAGTACGGTTGTTTAACCGTACTCTATAATATATCTAATCTAATACACCCCTGATAGAATACGTAATGACCGTCCGTATTATATATGCAAATATAACCGTACTATATTTTCTATTTTCTAGTAGTGCAGGTATTAATTTAAGGTGAAATGCTCAAGTG